GTTGCGTGGTGTTGCGTGGTGTTGCGTGGTGTTGCGTGGTGTTGCGTGTTGCGTAATGCGTGTTGTTGTTGTTGTTGGTGGTGGTGGTGGTGGTGGGGTGGTGGTAGTGGCGTTGGTGTTGGTGTTGGTGTTTGTGTTGGTGTTACCCCTGCAGCGTTTTTTCTCGGTTCCGTAGTGGCCGAGAATCGTCAAATATGTGGTGTTTTCGCGTGTTTTTGCAACTCGCTGGTTGTTGTGTGTTGTTGTGTGTTGTTGTGTGTTGTTGTGTGTTGTTGTGTGTTGTTGTGTGTTGTTGTGTGTTGTTGTGTGTTGTTGTGTGTTGTTGTGTGTTGTTGTGTGTTGTTGTGTGTTGTTGTGTGTTGTTGTGTGTTGTTGTGTTTTGTTGTGTGTTGTTGTGTGTTGTTGTGTGTTGTTGTGTGTTGTTGTGTGTTGTTGTGTGTTGTTGTGAGTTGTTGCGTGTTGTTGTTTGTTGTTGGTTGTGGTTGTGGTTGTTGTTGTTGTTGATGATGATGATGTTGTTCTTGCTGCTGCAGTTGTTGTTGTTGTTGTTGTTGTTGTTGTTGCTGTTGTTGTTGTTGGTGGTGGTGGTGGTGATGGTGGTGGTGTTTGGTGTTGGTGTTACCCCTGCAGCGTTTTTTCTCGGTTCCGTAGTGGCCGAGAATCGTCAAATAGGTGGTGTTTCGCGTGTTTTTGCAACTCGCGGAGCAAAAAACATCGTAAATACCAATGTTTTTGGCGGGTCGGAAGCCCAAAACCACGGTATTTACGATGTTTTTTGCCTCTGGTAGCAAAAAGCACGGTATTTACAGTGTTTTTTGGCCAGCACCTAGCAAAAACACTGGTATTTACGGAGGTTTCACCATGTAACAAAATGTGGTTTCTTGATCCGAAAAGAACAAAAATACTGTAAATTACAATGTTTTGAGTCTGCTCTTAGGGTGCGTGGGAGGCATTGGGGGGGGTGGGGGGGGGTACTAAAATGACTAGCAATCTCCTGAATAATCAGGTAACGGGGCTGGCCGCCCTCCCCTTTACTTCGTAAAGTAAAACTCAAGGTAGCCCCTCTGGAGCTACCTTTCGTGATATGATGTGATTTCAACAACATCACATGCACGTGCCTTTTCATACTGTAATTTTAAAATCGTTTGACACAATGCGTCACAAACTTTGTGAAACACCCGTGCAAAAAAAAAATGTGGTGAAACACTGAATACATTCCAGCCACACACTTGGGAAACATTGGTGCGCGAAACTTGCAAGACCCCTTTGCGGAAGACATTATTGATTTGTGTGGTACGCTCTCGTAGGACCCCATGGGAAGGAAGTTGTGGAAATTTTCGGTCCGTTTATCTTGGTCGGACCCACTACCGTCACCAACTCCCTTCCAGTTGGAGAAAAAATTGGAAGGGAACTTCGCGATTGAAAATCCATAATTTGATTTGGTTGTGAACGTTAGGGTGTCCTTGTATTTCGCAATGCATGCACACATTCTTGAACCAAGAAATTATCATAGTTCCATGCGTATAATGTGCCCATTCGATTGTACCAGTAGAGCCCGGGCAAGCCGGGCGACGGAAGTTTCGAAAGGGGGGAAAGCTATGAACAGAAGGGTGTAAAGGAACGACGCCTGAACGCCCGCCTGGCAGGACCTCTGCGCTTTAACGTCTCAAAAATTTATTGACATCCCTTTGTCTTTGTTTGTGTTTGTTTGTGTGTTTCAATGTGCAATCCCTCTCCACTGCACATGGTGGCACCCGCCGCTCTTTTGGCATGGGAGTCGAACTTACCACCGGAGCAATTCGCTATATTTGTAGATCTAAACTTGCCAGCAATCTAAACATGTCTGTGAGACTTCATTGCCCAACAAGTGCAAGTTGCTCGGCAAGGCACCTCGTCCAAGGTTTTAAATGAAAATGAAACACACATGCAACTTTGCAGGGTGCTTGGCAAAGTCACGGGTTCAAGGCTCTGACTGAACATGGCAGTACACATGAAACTTTGCCGGTTGCTCAGCAAGGTTGTTCGTTGAAGCCTTTGATTGAAAATTGCCGAAATATGCAACTTCGCAGGGTGCTTCGCAAGGGCATTCATTCAATGGTGGGCGACCATTGGGTCGACCCACCGTTTGGTTCGACCACCAAGTCGAACCACCGTCTTCAAAATGTTGCTTGTACCGTTCTCGAACTGCTGACTGAATCAAGGCTCTGAACAACATTCCAAATTGGGTGCTGGTGGTTGGCCCCTTTTTTGCACCACTATCCTTTTTTTAGGCCATTCATCTAAATATATGTTTTGTTTTAATGTATTCATTTATCTATCTATTTATCTATCTATCTATGTATCTATCTTTCTATTTACATTTCTATTTATTTATTTTTCATCAACGAGTTAATTAACTCATTAATTAACTCATCAATTAATTAACCAATAAATTAATTTTTATTAACCAATTAATTAATTAATAATTAAATAAGCTAATTAAGTTTAATTTTTCATTTATTTATCTATGTATTTTCTTTGTTTATTCATGTATTAATGTATTTTTATGTGTATACAGTGTGTGTATGTGTGTATACATATGTGCCACCATAAACAAACACACATATATACATATATATATATATATATTTACACAAAAATATATTCATCTCAAAGCGACAATATGACTCTTCGCACTACTCTCGCCGCGCTCATATTTTTTTACCGCCTTCTGCCTTCAGTCTGTCTAGTTCAGCTGCTATCCTTAGGTTTGCTTTGGATCAGTCACTGTGTAACATGCGCATGCCCCAGACCACTTTCCCAGGCTGGAACCTTCTTGTGCAGGTATCACTCATCACCTAGTAAAAGGAAAGGTAAATAATTTCGTGCTCACCCAGAAAAGTATCGTCGCAAAGAGGCTATGCGCTCGCCTGCGCGTTTTTTCCATGTTTAACTTAGAACGCATATGCTCTAAGACTCTAAAGACACCCTCTCCTTGGCGGGCTTCTCGGCCAAAGGCCGGCTCTTAGGCTTGGATGGCTGGTGAAAGAAAGCAATGAATGCTGTTTTGGTTCAA